AAAAATCCTTTTAAATTTATTAATGTCTCGGATAGTATTTTTGAACAAATTATTTTACTTTTTTTTAATACTTTATTAAAATTAATAAAGAAAAAGATAAATACAATAAGATTAAATATAATTCTGTTGTATCTGTTCACCGTATAATTAAATCTATAATGAACCTGTTATATTACTTGTAAAAAAATATTTTAATTATACTTAATTAAGTAATAAACCCATATCTTTTATTACAGTAGGTATATTTGTCGTTAACACTACTCAAATATCAAATTTATTTAGCATTAGTTCATCCTGTATTAAATACAAATGATTTTTTGTTAGAATGTCAAATAGACGGAAGTTGTGTCATATTTATGCCACGAAGTTTGATTTTTTTTTTTTAATTTTAAAACTATATTATATAATGTTATAAGTAAATTATTATATATGCTGATGATAATAAATTATCAAATATTATTTTTTCATGTTGTTAAATATTTCTATTGGACAGTATTTTATATTTATATGTCCTTTTTTATGTTTTTTAATATTTTATAAAATAATTTATATACTAATATTTACAATGCAGACGTTTGTTCTTTGAATAAGTATTATAACTTGCTATAATTTTTATTAAATATTTCACGTGCATTGATTATTTAATTTATTATGGGTTTGTGTAAGTAAAAACATAAATTTTGCCACAGTGTTAAAACACTGTCCATATCAACGCACATTGATATAGCATTTAACAACCAAGTACCATAAAACAATTTATATTATTAATTGTAACCTCTACTACTATAAAGACTACAATTACTATCGCAGTAAATTAATTCCCACATACAATCCTGTGTCATAGTGCTATACTATCACAACAATAATAAAAATAATGTAAATATCAAAAAAAAAACCGTAGTTGCAAGTGTTAAAAGAAAAGGAATAAAATTGTCATATTAAAAAGTAATAGTATGAGCTAATGTTAAATATATAATTGGCGATGGTTTATCATGAATTATAGTGATAAGGTATGGAGATAAGATAAAATCAATGAGCTAGTTAAATTTGTTTAGCTACAAGGTAAAAATAAAAATATGCAGTGTAGGATCATGGCTCTTTTTGTTAAAATGAAATGACTCCATATGATTTGTTGTAAAATGTAAAGTGAAGGAAAATTACACACGGATGACACTAACTCGAATAATATTAATTCTACTATGAAATATGCAGTTGATCTGGGAGAGGATTTTATGACTCTTGATATTTTTATCGATTGTAGTATATGTAGGAAACGATGTGTGTTTGCGTAAAATGCAACTGTCCGATTGTTGGTCGCCAAGCTTTAATAGCTGAATTATTTTTTATATGAATGATAAATACAATTAAAACATTTATGTTACATTCATACAATAGCGATGATAAAATAGTTGTTAACAATAATATTTTTTAAATTATGTACGTTAAGAAGTTATTTCTATTATTCCCACGATAAAAATTATTCATAACTTATTTTAAATCTATCTTTCATTTTTTATGACATGCTTAGAAATAAAATTTCTTACCTTGTATCCAGCTAAGCTTGATCGTTTGTTGTACAAAAAAAATATAATAAGAGCACTGTCTTTAATCTACTTATTTATTTTATAATCTTATAAAAATTGTTAAACTTTAAATATTACTTCACTTAGCTTTCTTTCTATACTTGGTATCTGAATATATATATAGAGGGTGATTTTTTTATCATAACCCTCTCAATTACTTATAGAATAATAATAATTTAAATTTTTTTTTTTATTATTATCTTTAGTTACACATTATTCTTGAACTATTAACTATGTAATACNTTTTTTTTATTACTATCTTTAGTTACACATTATTCTTGAATTATTAACTATGTAATACTTTTTAAGTTCATCCCTTATGCCTGGTAAGGGTGTCAACTTTGTTTTTTTAAATGGTAGCACATATTTTTGATTTAATAATATGTTTGAGTTTTTAATTCAATAGTAAATGGCATTTGAATTTTTAATGAAACTTAATTTGTTTATTAGATATAAACATTTAAAGTTTCAATTTTTTGAGTTAATATTTAGGTATAATACACAAGGGATTACAAATACATGTAGCTAATATATATATATATATATATATATATTCTTTTATACTTCAAAATAAAAATTTATAGAACTAATCTCTAGTGACATGCCGCAAATTATTGTTTTACCAATAATTTCAACCACTTGATGTGCTAGGGTAATGATTTCAATTAACTATCAATATTTTATAAAATTGTGTATTTAATATGAGAGTCGACAGAGTTAGCGACAATCTGGCTACATCATCGGAGATTATACTCGTTAATGCACGGACCTTACGGAGTCTAAAACTGCTTGTCAAAAAGAACGAGACAGAATATGAGAATCAATCCCTAGTGACTCGACATAAACTATTGTTTTACGAATAGTCTTAACCGCTTGATGTTCTAGGGCAGTGGTTTTCAACCGGTGTGCCGCGATAAATCTAATTATAGTTTTATAATTTTATGGATACCTGTATTATTATCGATATTCGGTGAAAAGAGATAACTAACAAACATAAACATAGGCTAATCGCTTATCATTAACCGTAGATACGCATAATACTATAATAGTATTTAATGTTAGTTTGACCATCGCAGCCGTCTCGAAAGCACTGATAATTTTACTTAAATAACACTTAAATAGTATTTTTTGTAATGGATACATTTATAATTCGTTCAACTAACGGCACTTCAGTGAGTGAAACACCAAAGAAAAAAGCTAAATTAAATATCAGACGTCAATATCATGAAGATTATTTAAACATAGGATTTTCTTGGTCTGGAAATGTAGATGATCCTCGTCCATGGTGTCTTGTATGTGGCGAAAAATTATCCAACGAATCAATGTATCCAAGTAAACTTAAAAGACATTTTTCCACCAAGCATTCTCATTTGGCTGATAAAGATGCTTCATATTTTCAACGTTTACTAGAATCAGAAACACGACAATCTAAAAAAATGACAAAAATGGTGACCATTTCTGATACAACTCAAGAAGCTAGTTATCTAGTAGCAGAGCTTGTAGCTAAACAAATGAAACCTCACACTATAGCACAAAAACTTATTTTACCAGCTTGCTGTGAAATTTTAAAAGCACTTTTTGGTGAAGAAGCTGAAAAAGAAATATTGAAAATTCCTATATCTGACAACACCATCAGTAGGCGTATAGAGCACATGTCTGAAGATATTGAAGAACAAGTATTGCAACAATCTCGTGACTCTCCATTTTTTTCACTTAAGTCGAGATTATTTGAAAAAATTTGTGAAGGTATGGATTCAGATAAATCAAAGTTACTTTTTCACAGTGCAATAAGATGGTTATCAAGAGGCCGGGTATTATCACGTTTTTATGATTTGAGAGAAGAAATAATTGTATTTTTAACAATAGAAGAATCGAAATACGATTTTCTTGGAGATGAAAAGTGGTGGACAAAAGTTTCTTTTTTAACTGATATTTTTGAACTTTTGAATAAATTAAATACAATTATGCAAAGTCGTAACGAAAATATCCTAACATCATCTGACAAAATGATGGCTTTTCATGAAAAATTAACTATGTGGAAAACTCAAGTTGATAAAAAAAAAATTGACTATGTTCCCACGAACTGCAGAGCGAGATGTAGACGCCACTCTCATATCGTTAATAAGCAAATCTATCATATTACTAAAAGACCAAATGAAAAAATACTTTCCTAGCATAAATATTGAAACCTATGACTAGGTGCGAAACCCATTTAGTGTGGCAATTGACGAGGTCATTGGTCTGACATTCGCTGAAGAAGACAATCTTGTTTCACTGAAAAATGGTAGAACATTAATGTTGAAATTTAAAGAAATGGCCCTCAACAAATTTTGGATTTATGCTCAAGCAGAATTTCCTGAAATATCAATAAAAGCAATAAAAATTTTACTACCATTCTCCACATCGTACTTATGCGAACAAGGATTCTCAGCAGTCACAACAATAAAAAGTAAAAAAAGAGAACGACTTTAATCTGTTGAAGAAGAGCTAAGAGTCAGTCTGTCTACCATTCGCCCTCGAATAAAACATTTATGCACAAAACGACAGGCACAAATGTCTCATTTCATTTCATGTACCATTTCATTGTACATTATTATTTAAGATACATATTTCTTCTAACAAATTTTTCATTATTGTATTATTTTATTCAATTTACAATAATCAACCCTCTAATAGAGTTGATTGTAAAAGTATATATATATTATATATAAAAATATGTGCATATTATATGGATTGGTGTGCCGCGTAAATTTTGTAGGAAATGAAGTGTGCCGCATAGTAAAAAAGGTTGAACATCACTGCTATAACTTATTGAAAAGTGTATGGATCCACACAATTTTTTTATGAGAAATAATATTTTTTAATAAACCCTTTTTCATTCGACATACTTTATCTTAATCGAGATATTAATTTGGAACCTGCAGATCATGTAGCTTATGGAATAAAACACCAATTTTTTTAAAATTAAACACTATCTAAAGAATTGCATCGAAGCGTTTATTTTTGATAGTGATTTTAATCACTGTCAGATATTATTATACTTGATCCAACTATACCACGGAACCACGTGCCGCGACCCCCCTGTGCTGGGTTTTTTTTATTATTTAGGTCCCTCAACATTGCAGACGTGTTACAATAGCACTTGTCATGTTATATGTATTTTTTTGTGATTATCTTTATATATAGATTTTATGTGATATTGAGTGATGCGTATGTATTATTAGTACAATGTAGTGACGTAGTGCATTTTATTTCGGGGTGTCCCTATGTCTTGAAAGCTAATTCTAACTGTTTAAAACCAGTCACATAATTGGGACGTATACCCACCGTGCTTAACGGTAATGCTGTGATTAATAGCCTGCAGGTACCCAAAGACGTTCATCGTATCATCTCATTGTAAAAGTGTAAATGTAACTATTTTTTTTTACTAATATCTGTTTTTATTTTTTTCGCTGTTCCCCTTTAATTTATAGACGAGGTTTTTTGCCTCGTACTACCTTTTTTGTATTATAATAAAGTCTCCTTAATTTAAGTTAACTATTATGTTATTTTTTTGGCGTGTTCCATCTTCAATGGACTCGTGTATTTTTTTTCTTTCAAAATTCAACTCCCCTAGTGTATAAGGTACGATCAATATGGTTATGTAACAACTGTCACAAGATTTTGATGTACATCAACTATAAATGATTCAACAAACATCAAATACAATTTTAGTATTTTTTCCTTTTTTTTTATATTAAATTGTTTTTAATGCACAAAATTAAATTTTCTTAATCCTACTGTGGTCCCACAATACATTGTCTCGCCCAGTGAGTTGGCGACCCTTTCTTTTTGAATTATTCAATGCGCCATGAAAGTTATACATTTTCCGTTATGGCCTATTAATTCGATTATTTTTTTATGATATTTGTAAACTTTCCCAATTATCATGTTATTGAACTTTAAATTGCTATCTTAGAGTTTGTTTATAGTATATTTTTATTATTTATCACTTATAAGAAAGAAAAAAATAATTGTATCAAAAGTTATAAGCATTGCCAATAGATCTAAAACGTCCAAAATATTTGATTAATTGTATACAATTACAATGTTTTCATTTTAAATTGTGTATAAACTTATTAAACCTTTAAAAATCAAATAATTTAAATATATCAATGTTGAAATAAATAAATTATCATTATTATTAGTATTAAAAATAATATACAATTTACAATTACAAAACAAAATAACTATTTTTTTTTAAATACATCTTCAATGTTACTCAAATAATATCTGAAGTATGCTTTTGAAACATATAAACATGTTTCATTACTCATATCAAGATTTTCTAATTCAGGCCAATTTGGATGAAATAATGTCCAATAAAATTTATAGTTATCTCCATAACCATTTCCATAGACGTAAATGCAAATATCGAGAGCATGGGCAGCGGCTAATAATTCTATTTGTGTTCCCAAACCACAAGCTAGTAAATAAAAATAAATATAAAAAGAGTCAATAACGGACATTTATCTAAATATTTAAAAACTTTTAAGTAAGAAATTTAGTTATTATTGATTTATCTCATTATTTATTAAGCATTTAAAGAAATAATTACAAAGTATTATAAATTTTTAAATGGTTAATTTAATACAGACCAAAGGTTATTTTTATTTTTTGGGACTTTTAAGAAAAATATGTTGGTGAAATATGTATTAGAGTATTGTCCAATGTACTATATTGTGTATAAATATCGGTAAATAATAAATTTTTCCAACATAAATAGTCGTTACGAAAATTCAGGAAAGCCATTTAAAGTTTAAAACGTTGCAATTTGTCTGTATAGTTATTTGTGTTATTTTCCAAATTTTCATTCAATTATTGAAAAAACTAACTGTTGTGTTTTGTGGAGATAAAAAAAAATTGTTCTATGACGTAAATAAAGTATTTGACTCATGACATGTTGGGAATTCCCCACCCTCTCCACATAAAAAAAAATGAAAAAGAAGCAAAGAACATTTTATTTTTACAGATATTTTTATGTTGTATTAGCACATACTTCGTCCGTTTTTTTTTCTGATCTGTTGATATTCCGATACCTTATCATTCATAAATTTTTTGATTTTTGTATTACTAGACATTTCCTATAAATATTCTCATGTATACAAAGTGTGGCTATTTAATAACAAGACTAAG